TTTTCTCGATTGCGAATTATTGATATTATCTTTTATAAAAAAAAAGAGGATCAAAATAGAAAACATCTTTCGTTGAGAATAACCCTGAGATGACCCCTCAATAACAATACGTTTTGCCCATGCGCTAGCTTCATTAGCATAATTTATAACGATCAACAACAAACAACATGGCGGCCAAAATAGGTTGGATTTTGCAATCCCGCGATGAAAACGAAATAAACAAATGTTTTATAATTTTGTTTGGATATTTCATGTCGACAAGGTAAATAAAACATCTCTCATTTAATAAAACTGGTTCATTTGTTTATTTTGTTTTCGAGACGGGAGGAATTTGCTCTTCATGTGCGAGACAGTCCACAGAAGTGCCACTGGCCGGCTGGGGATCGATAGTATAGTACCGATCGGAAACAAGCTAGTTTGTCATTTCAAACTTTGAATGAAACTGTTTTAATTTGTTGTTAAAATTGTCCAGTCTCCAAACGTTACATTCAGATGATATTCAACTTTTTGTTTTTACTTTTTTTGCAACTTTACAAACCAAGTTGCGATGGTCACCCCTGTCTCTTAGCCCTAAAGATTGCGTACTCGGTAATCTGAACGTAACACATGGCCACTTTCCTGTTAGCGATTCGCAAGTAGCTATTGTCTTTTTGCTGAGACCGTCTGACGGAAATGTTGGTGGTCGTTATACAAAGGTTAAAGTGTGAATAGGTCTACAATAGGGTGGTCGTTGGATAGGTGGTCGCTATATCCAGTGTCTTTAACGTGTAAATTGCGAAAGGACTGTACTAAGGTGGTTGCTATGAGCAGGTGGCCGCTCTGCACAGGTGGTCGTTAACACAGGTTTGACTGTACATATGCACGTCAATTTGTTTCACGATCTGATTCAAGATGAACGAATGGCGGCCATTTTTGAGCTAAAAAATCCTAAAAATCAAGCATTTCTCGGTTGTTTACAGATGGATTTTGTTCAAACTTGGTATATACATTAGACACTATGGGACCTTGATGCAAATAATTTTGTTTTTCAGATAAGATTCAAAATGGCCAACTGGCATTTATTTTGTATTAATGAATGTGGTTCTCGTGCCGTATCTCTGACTTGCTTTCACTGAATATGTTCACATTTTAAATATTCATTATACATCATGTCATAGATAGACAGATATATTGGTTTGACGATCCTATTCAAAATGGCCAAATGATGGCCATTTTTGTACTAAAAAATCTTCAAATATCAAGCATTTATGGATGGATTTCGTTCAAACTTGGTACATGTACATGCATTAGACATTACAGGTTCCTGATGCATGTCATTTTATTTTTCAGATTGGATTCAAAATGGCTGACTGGCGGCCATTTTGTTTTAATGATTGGGCTTCTAGAGCCATATCTCTTAAATGCTTTGACTGATTATATTCAAATTTTATATATTTCTTATACATCATGTTATATATATACATGTATTCAAAATGGCTGATTTTGAATGCTGTTCCAGAGCAATATCATTTTAATGTTAAAAAATCATATTCCTGACATGGTTATATTCCAGCTATATTACTATAAACAAAACTATATATCTTAAATTTGATAACTAACGGGGAATGTGCCATGCATGGCTTGTTATTTTTCTCTTCTTATTAGAGAACATTTTGTTGTCATCTATGTAATTGTGATTTAAATTTTTTTTTATATTTTGACAGTCAAGAGAAGCAGTACCGCTGCATGGCAGATCTGGGATACTGGGTGAACAGAGGAATAATTTCTTCTGTGATGTGGCCTGTGGTAAAGGTTCTAATAAAGAAAAAACATTTTGCATTACAACATCTGGTTTACTTTGCGAGTTTGACGAGAAGAGACTTCTAGATAAATGGGTAGAACTTCGGGTAAGTGTTAAAGTATAAGGTCACATTTCTACAATTCCTGGGATTTACATCGTGGGATCATCGGGCTTAATTTTCTATATTGTTTAGGTTGTCCGTTGTTTTCTGATTGTAATATTAATGTGTTTGAATCAATGTCAATTTTCCATTGTTCAGTGTTACAGTATTGTATATAATGATGAAATATAACCTTCCTAGAATTTTATGATTCAAATCAATGATAATTAGCAAATCATGTCAAAGAAGGAAATTTTCTGATATCATGATATATAATGATAACAAATGCAAAAATAAAATGATGAAAGTTCAGGTTTGTCTCCATTAAAAAAATAACCAAATTGTTTTTTCTTTTCAATTAAAGTTGGAAGAAAATAGTGTTTCATCCTTTCAGGGTTTCATATACTTCACATTTTATTCAAGTCATGCCATGATGGATGTTTCTTTTTTACCTGCCCAATTTGTTTAGCTACTAATGGTTTGACCCATGTTCAAATTACGTACCAGAATGTTGAGAAATTGTTCTCAAGGGCCCATGAGCTGCATTTTTTGCAGTGTCAAAGTGATCTACCAGATTAACATACGTTGGGTAAAATGTGAGGATATTCATGATATGCTTCAATACATCACCAAAATGCAGCTCAAATTTCCTGCGATGTCAAAAAGCAAATAATTTGCTGATTTTTCTTTTTTTTTTTTTCAGACGCCTCAAGCTCACAGTTTGTCTGTGAGTGAGAAGTATATATTTGTTGGTTGTGCTAATGGTGTAATAAGAATATTCAGTGCAGATACGTTGCACTATGTTTCCACTCTGCCCAAACCACATATCCTAGGTGTCAATGTAGCTGCTAGTATGGACCCAAGGTATTTACTCTGCTTGTAGTGTCCATTATTGTTAGTGTCTAATAACATATCTTTAACCTTTTGAATGCCAATGTCAAGTAGTGTCATCTTTCACAAAATTTTAAACCTGCATCATTTTTTCCATATTTTTTTCAAAAATTTTGATCAAGACATATAAAATTTTTCTAAAATTAAGACCTCAATAAAAGAAAGTTATGTTTCTGGGCAGTGCGCACAGCACCAAAAGAAGTGCAGAGTCAATCACTTAATAGTAATTCCCCACTGCACGGTGCCCTCTGTTGACGAATTTAGGAAACCTGCAAGATTTGTGTCCCGTAAAATATTTTTAAAATCACCTTTACTGCTCTTTTTTTTTTGTAACACATTTTTTTTGCAAGGCCTAGCAAATAAATTTTAAAAAAATACACAAAAATGTGCAAAATTTTGCATAAAAAATATTGTTGTTTAAGACGGTTAACGGATGATTTCAACTATCTAGTATAAATATGTTCAAAATTGTTGATGCCAAAGAGAAAATAAAAAGAGAGGGGTGCCTATCCCATCTTGTTTTCATGGAACCAATGATTTTGCATTATCCCCATAACAATAACCTCTCTTCTGGCAGCCATTTTGAATTGAAAATCGTTCAAAATGTATCCTCGGGGGCGGAGCTACGTCACAAGACGTTCCATGTTGCTAAGACGCGCACCACTGTACATGCATTTCTATGGGCTCTGGGCACGCTGCTGTGGAACGCCGTTCGAGTTCGGGAAAATTCGAGAAAACAGCTCAAACTCAACTTTGGAGTAATCCCGAACAACCAAATTTATATATGTTACACATGTAGGGCTAATCTTGTTACACTGTTCAGGGGGGTCTCAACAACCATCCCAAAGTACCGTTTTCTGCGAATTTTGGCCTTTGTTTTCACCGCGAGGATTGCCAGGCGGTAGAAGATGTCCTCCCCGAGGATACAACTGAGATTCATAATTAAGGCAACTAATGTTTATTGTCTAACTTAGCCAGTCACCGAGACTAATTTCAGAAAATCCTGTGTCTACCTTGTTGTCATTTTTAGTAGAAATCTAAATAGCTATTTTCATTATTAACTACTAAAGATGAGAGTAAGTTGGTATATGTGGCATTACTGCCCTCTATGGCGACTGATGATTGTAATTTATTCAGCTAATATCATTTATTTATAAATCCATTTTTCTTATCTTTGAAATTATTTTTCTACATATAATGAAATAAAAATATTCATGGACTTGAGACTTGTGTTCCTGATAATAGCAGATTTAGGCAAGTCATGGATGTTTGTGATAATTTAAATCTAAAGTATGTACATTGTATGTGTGCAGTGTTACAGTATTGTATATAATGATGAAATATAACCTCAAATGTTATATTGTCAAAGAGGGAATTTTCTGATATTAAAATATTCCTGATGATAGCAGATTTAGGTATGTCATGGATCTGATCTTTGGAATAATTTTCTGTATTTAAGTGTTTTTCCACTTATTTCAGTCATTTAGTGAAGCACAATGATAACGCCAAGTATCCAGCCGCCGTTGCATTGACATTGGATGATAAAAACAATAGGGTGAGTACATTTCACAGTATTACCTAAGACCCAGCAAAAATGATTTGGGTCAACCTGTTCTTCCAAGATTGATTTCATGATGCATTTTTTAAATAATTTTGGCTGATAATGACTACAAACAACTCTAATAAATTTGACTGTCAGATTAATCAATGACCTCGTACCGTAACCTCTGCATCACAGCTGTTGTCACTAAGGGTGTACTTAAAAGCTGTAGTATTGCTGTGTGTTATTGGCTTTTGACTTATGTAGACTTGCATACAGTCTCTTGTTAGTTTTTTAGTTTGTTTGTTTTTTCCACAAAAAAAATAATATTACACGATATATAAATGGGGAAAGCCGAGTTACCATGAAAATATTCCCCTAGATTCTTTTTTAGAATGAATTCTCACATTTTGTCACTGAATTGAATTAGAGTTTCTGTATGTGTTCTTATAAACACCTGGGTGCATGTATAATATCCATGACATAAAGCAGTTAACATACATGTTCTGTTCAGTTGGTGTAATTCCCGTTCTGTATCATTCTTATTCAAGATACCTTATGTACCTGTTTAAACTCTCGAAAGTGAAATAAGTAATTACAGTTTATATAATGCTAATTTGTTTTAAATCACTTATGATTATAAGAAAACATCATGTTAAAATTCTGTGAAATGCTTCGTTCTTGTAGTTGTCGGCCGTGTACAACGATCACAGTTTATACGTCTGGGATGTACGAGACATTAAGAAGATTGGTAAATCGTGGTCGTTTCTATATCACAGTGCGCCAGTATGGGGCATTGACGTCTATCCCAACATTCCAGATGGTAACAAGTCGTTACTTCCAGCGGGATCCTTTATCACATGTTCGTCCGATAACACCATCCGTGTGTGGAATATTAATGAACAGGCAACGTCCACGGATGGTACTTTCAAGAGAAACATATTTAGCGAATGTGAGTTTGCACAATCAAGTTGTTATATTGGTTCATCTA